TGTGTGTGTGTGTGTGTGTGTGTGTGTGTGTGTGTGTGTGTGTGTGTTGGTCCTGGATTTCCATCTTGTCTGTGATAGCCTCTTCTTTGCTATTGCAAATTGCCCTGCTAGGTGACCCCACCAGCCACTGGGTATGGACAGCCACTCCTGTCTCTACCTCCCATCTTGCTCTTTGAGGGCTGGGATCAGAGATATGCTCCTACATCCAGCTTTACACTCTGGGGATGCAAAGTAAGGTCCTTACACTTGTACAGTAAGTGCCTCATACGCTCTGGCATCCCAGTCCCACTTCCTTTATGACTCGGTTGCCACATTCTTGTAATTTGCATCCTGACTTTAGGAAACTGAAATGCAGAAAAGCTCTGGCTTTAGATTTCTACCAATTCTGCATGCATACCCTTTGGAAGTTCCAAAAGGCAAATGAAGCCCAAAGTTCATGTTGAAGATTTTCTTTTGCTATTTTCTTACTTTATGTGGTGGGTGTTTTATCTGTATTTATGACAGTGTAGCACATGTGTGCCTGGTACCTACAGAGTCCAGAGGAATGTATCATATCCCCTTGAACTGGAGTTATAGATGCTTATGAGATGCCATGTGGGCATTGGGAATGGAGCCTCAGTGCTCTGAACTGCCGAGCAATCTGCCCTGCCCCCATAATTTCTCTCTGATCATATTCAGTATGCTGTTGTTTGTTAAAACTCTTTGGCCATGTAGTCACCGTGGAAATAATGAAGCAGTTGAGGTATCTATTGATCAATACTTTGTACACAGACTATCAGTGCTGAGGAGCAAGTACAGTGTATAGTAAGCACGTTGTTTTTCTTGATGGATGCTGCTGCTCTGTAGTAGAGTGTGTAATGTGTGACAGGTGCTAAGACAAAGGACAGACAGCATATTAACATTGCAGTACATAGAAGAAACAGTGAGCACAGACACTGAGGGGTGACTGTTGAAGTATACATGGAAAAGGTAGGTTCAGTGTGTCACTCATTATTTTAGTCGGATATTCGGCTGCTCTGAGAGAGAGTATTTCTGTCCACTATTCCACTTTGCACAGCATCCAGAGTGCTTGGGATGCTGTAAATCCACAAGTAGTTCTCGTTTGTTCAGTGAGAGTCCAAATGATCTATTGTGTACAAAGCAGGGGACGATGTGGTGGAAGGTGAATCTAGAACAGTAGCTAAGGACAGGATAAGAGATGGCCTGAAAAATAGGATTCTTGGGCTAGGGAACTGGATCAGTACCTAAGAGCCCTTGCCATGAAGCATGAGCCCCTTAGTTGGAATCCCCAGTACCTACATAAAAGCTGTGTGTGGCCAGATGTGTCTGTTACCCCAGATGAGGAAAGGGGAGTCCGAGACAGACAGGTCCTCTGAGCTTGCTTCCATAAGAGCAGCCTAAACAGTGAGTGTTGAGTGTTGGGCTCCGTGAGAGAGAAGACTGTCTGAAGGAAATAAGCTGGAAAGTGATAAAGGAGGCCTTCACGCACATGTTCATCTGGGCAAACAATGCATCCATGCATACACTGTGTACAGCCTGTGAAGATGGAGTCACTAAGGATTTAGGACAGCATTTGCTAGGACATAGTATGCCACCAACTGATTCATAGTATAAACTGCAGAGGGAAGCAAGCTGAGGTAGAGTCATTCTATAAGTTAGATAACAGTTCTGGATGGTGGTATGGAAAGTGATTTCAGGTGATGTTTGTAAGATAGTAGTGACAGTTGTTGCCGACTAGAAAGTGGGGCCATGAGATATGGCAGAAGCTTGGAGAAAGCCTAGCTTCATGTGTTAGCAGCTGGAAGCCTGCAGGGAAAGTACACTAAAGGAAAAGGAAGAACCAGGTTAGAGTGCTGTGGAGAAGGTTCTGAAAGGCCAGTGAGACCTTCACTTTCTAAGACCCCTCAGTCCACATGAAAATGGGAGAGTTAACGGGAATGTCAACTTTGCAGAATACAGATACTTGGACTAAATGTTTATCCTTTGGATGGATTGTGACCTATGTTACATGCTGTAACTGTAAGTAAGACAGTAGGGTGGACAGTAAGGTGAGGCCCGTGTCTCTTCGTCCTCGTTGGTACAGGACTCCTAAGGGCTCAGCTAGCCTTCCCTGACCTGCTTTGACAGAAACACTGTTCTCTGGCCATCCGACTGGTTTTCTTAATTATAGACAAAATGTTGGGATAGGTGTTTTCTGCAGCTAGCTGTATTTGGGTGTTGACATGTAGCGTCTTTTTACAGCATGGAAATTTATTTTATTTTGGAAAATAGGGGAAGATTTTCTTTGTTTAAACAACTGAAGTTTGTAGGTGCCATTAATTTCTTACAAGACATGTAAATGGTACTATGTGATGGTTGTTTCCCAGGTCGCCGCCGACCGCGCTGATGTCTCTTCTCAGCACGCAGGAGGAGTTGCTGGAGAATGTCTTGGGCTGTGTTCCTGTGGGGCAGATAGTTACCATTAAGCCGCTGAGTGAGGACTTCTGCTACGTTCTGGGATACCTCCTTACTTGGAAGTTAATCCTTACTTTCTTCAAAGCTGCTTCGTCTCAGGTAAATAAATACAGGACTTTTGGGGGTGGAGTGGGTGATATGGAATAGACCCATGTGACAGCTTTGGGCTGCTCCATCGAAGTGTGTTTCTCAAAGAACCTTCCTTCCTATCATTTTGACTCCGAGTAGGAATGCCATGCATCTAACCTAAGCCTGGCCAGCCAGGTTCACTCACCTGCTGTAAGATTGCATACTCTTTGAAGTGCACGCTTCTGTCCCCAGGAGTGAATCTTGGAAATGGGTCTGGGAAATTTTTTTTCTAAACTATTTCTGTACTTTAGGGAAAGATGTCTGTATGATTTAGGTTTGTTCTAATAGTGAGTGTAGAGAAGTGGAATAGGTGTTGCTGTTTCGGAAGCCACCAGCTTGCTGCACAGATCCAGTTGTTACATCACTGAAAACCCGTGATCTGAGACAGTCTTTGAGAGGCTGCCAAGTGTCCTGAGCAGTATTTCCTCTCCATCAAAACTTTAATCCAGCAAAGTAGCCTTTGTGATATCTACCCTACTGTAATAGACTAGTAATGTCCAGTTGCTGCATTGCCCACTAGATGTCTCTGTTATTTCACATGTCAGAAGAACTATCTTGTCCTCTCTGCTGTCCTCCTCGATCTGCTGAACACTGTCCTCTCATTGTCAGACAGAATGGTGTTCTGTAGCCCAGCCTGGGCGCGCACTCAGGTCTGATGCCTTGGCCTCGCACTCCTAATACTCCTAGCAGTATAGGTGTGCGCCATCTTTGACTTTTTTTTTTTTTTTGGTTTTTTGAGACAGGGTTTCTCTGTATAGCCTGGGCTGTCCTGGAACTCACTCTGTAGACCAGGCTGGTCTCAAACTCAGAAATCCACCTGCCTCTGCCTCCCAAGTGCTGGGATTAAGGCGTGCACCACCACTGCCTGGCTCTTTGACTTCTTTAGAAATACACTGTATTTAAAAATAAACAGTACAGCAAAACCCTTTTTGTCAGTTTTGAGACATGACCTTGCTCTCATGTTGGTCTCATGTTGGTTTCAAGACATGTGGATCCTCCTGCCTCAGCCTCATGAGTGCTGGGAATACAAGTGTACACTTATTCCAACGTCAAACTTTGGTTTAATCAGCCTTAGTAAGTTTCTTCTCTTACATCAACAGAAAAGGACTTAGCTGAGAACTTCTTGCTTCAAATGTACTTAAATGTTTTTAACATTCTTTTCCAATCAATTTTTCAGAATTCTTAAACTATACTTTATGTTGTTGCTTATACCCATGCCCTACTACAAATATATTGTTTGTACATTCTTGCCACCATACCTGGCCAAGTTTGTACATTCCTATATTTGTGTATTTTAGGGGAGGATCATACTAAGGGAAACACTGATCTAGCAGCTAAACAGAATATTTTATTCCTTGTCAAGCCTGGTCTTAGGTTTAGTACTTATGCTACTATTATTTGCTGATGTATTTTAAGAGTCTTTTTTGAAGCTTTTAGATTTATTCCTAAAATATTATTGATGTTCAAAAATTAACATCAAATTTAGAGTTTGATGTGTATGAAATTTGTCATCTTAAAAGTCACCATATTCCTTATATCAGGAAAATGGACATTCACCGTGGTTTTGATTCTCAAGATAGGCAGGAACCTCTTGCTCTTCCCTTCCTGCTCCTGCTCTCTCCCCATTCCTTCCCCTCCTCTACGTGCTCATGGCCAGCCTCTACTTCTCCTCTCCTCTCCTCTCCTCTCCTCTCCTCTCCTCTCCTCTCCTCTCCTC